TATTTTTTTTATTATTTAGCGAGCATTTGTAAAGAAAAACTAACTATTGTTATAAATAACACATTCAATTGAACTAAACTATGCATGCCTATTTAACTATATTTACACATGGCTTGTGTATATCGTATATATATATATATATATATACATATATATTATTCATATCTTCGGTGTATAGGACGCAACCAGATTTTGACATTAAATTTTGGGGTAAAAAAGTGCATCTTATACAGTAACTATAAAGTCTGTCTGAATACACTCCTGCTGTACTTACCTAAACAAAACTACTCACTATAAAATGCAATCAGCAACACCTCTGTTGACATTGTTACGCGTAGTTTTTCGTCCAATTGTTTCAACTTGAAACCCAATAGCAAGCAGTTCTTCTACATTTAACATCTTTCTCCCATCAAATAAAAAAGCAGGCTTCAACATGGAGTTATAAATCTTCTTATAATCTAAATGCTACAATGAGAAAATAGAAAAAGAAATTTCAAAACATTTTAATGTCTATATAAAAGAGAAAAATTTTTTCTAAGGAAGTCTTTTGTTATGTTATTCTTTTTATGGAAGAGTCACAGGAAGAAATAAACTATTATTATTCAAAATCCTTAGGAAAAATTAAAAATATATAATGGTGTCTATAAATAAAACAACATAGGCTTATTGGTTTAATAATCAAGATAATTTGATTCCTCAAAAGAACGTTTCTTTAACCAAGTGGGTGATTTTAAAATTATGGGCATCCAGAGGTTAGTCAGAGATTTTCTCTTCTAGAACACTCAATGTGAAATTAAATTTTATACTGAAGATTGTTTTGTTTCTTTGTTGAATTCTGTGCAAACAACTCGGGGGCTTTCTGTGCTAGCCCTTTTTAATGTTCAAGTGATAGACTAGAGGAAAGACAGCTAGTCAACTCCCGGGCTACTGTTTACCAAAAAATAGTGGGATTGATTGTCACATGATAGTTCCCTCCCACAGCTGAAAGGACAAGTGTATTCTGTGATGGGATTTAAACTTGTTACTCACAGAGTGCCAGTTGAGTGCCCTAACATCCAGAACATACCAGGCCTTACAATGAAAAGCTCCTTGAACCAAATGCAGAAACATGTATATATATTTCTACTGGCAAAGTAAAAGTAAGTATACAGATATGTGAATGTAGAAATTATGGTTAAATTATTACTGCTTGTAAGTAAGTAAACAAAGACCAACATTAAGCCTGGGCAACACTGTTGCTTCCCATCTTGATTATCCAACAAAGACCAACATTAAGCCTGGGCAACAATATCCTTTCCATCTTGATTATCTAACAAAGACCAACATTAAGCCTGGGCAACACTGTTGCTTCCCATCTTGATTATCCAACAAAGACCAACAATAAGCCTGGGCAACACTGTTGTTTCCCATCTTGATTATCTAACAAAGATGAACATTGAGCGTGGGCAACACTATCCTTTCCATCTTGATTATCTAACAAAAACCAACATTGAGCTTGGGCAACACTATCCTTCCCATCTTGATTATCTAACAAAGATGAACATTGAGCGTGGGCAACACTATCCTTCCCATCTTGATTATCTA